ACCCCACCCCCTTTATAAAAAGAAGAGGAGACAGCACCTTCCACTGGACTTGCCCGGCCGGCCACAGCCCCGGACACCCTGGGCCCGAGGCCGCTGTCCAGTCCCACCGGCCTGGGCGTCCCCGAGGTCCCTTTTGCCTCTGCACAGCGGCCAGCGGCCCCGGCGAGTCCATGTGCGGCTCACAGGTGCCGCGGGCTGGGGTGGCCGTTGTGGTAGAGTTTCTGCTTCACGTGCACCATGTTCCCCGCGGCCTCCTCGAACGGCCTGTGCGGCCGCCGGCCCAACTCCCGCAGGCTGCACAGCTTGGGCAGCCAGGTCCACGAGCCATCTGCAGGGGGACAGGGCGCGGTCAGGCGCCAGGGCGGCCGGGGCGGCGGCGCTCCCGGGCGGCGTGTGGCACTCACCGTAGCGCCGGCCGGCCCTCCAGGCGCGCACGGCGCAGTGCAGCACGCCGTCCATCCACACCAGGAACCAGCTGATGCAGAAGCCCAGCAGCAGCCCCAGCATGAGGTCGATCTCCTGCTTGGTCACGTTGTCCGTCACAAAGTAGTTCTCGGAGGCGTCCACCACCGACTGGTCCCCGTCGTACGGGATCACGTAGTGGATGTGGTGCCTGGGGGCGGCAGGGCGGGCCGGGCCCGCGTGGGCGTCGTGACCCCTACCGGGCGTCCTGGGGCCTTGAAGCCGCCCCCCTGGGCTGGTCAGGAGGGAGGCACCGCACCCCCCGGGGCTCCGGGGAGAGCTGCGGGGCAGTGGCCCTGGCCTGTGGCGACCACGGGCGAGGCTGGGCTCCCAGGGCAAGGAGCGGGCGGCCAGCGTCTTGCCAGGTGAGGGCCCGGGACGGCCGGTACCATGGCCAAGGTCATAGCCCACCTGCTGGCCCCGGGACTGCCAACGCCAGCATAGAGCAGAGCCGGACGGCGGGTGGCACAGAGGCCCTGCTGCCCCCCTTGGGGACCTGCCCTCCGGCCTCTCCCTGCGCCTTCCTGACAGCCGTCTGCTGGTGTGCCCGCCCTGCGTGCCTCCCCCACGGTCAGCCCTGCTGGCCTCCGGCCTCCGCGCCCGACGCCCCCGGGCTTCCTCTGCTCTGCCGCTCTTCCTGGTGCCTCCCCTGCCCCAACTCACTGTGCCAGAGGTCTTGGGGGCTCTGCCCGGCGCCCTGTTCTCTCCACACCGCTGGGGGAGCCCCCTCACCCATGCCTGGCACAGACCCACCTGTCCTTGGCCCTCTCAGCTGCTCCTGGGGTGGACAGTGTCCTGCTGTCCAGGGCTGAGTTAGAGAGGTCCCAGGGCCTGTCTTCTCCAGCTGGTCCTCCTCTCCCTGGGCTCTTGGGGGACTGTCCAGGCTCGGGCCCTTGATCCCTAGGCAGCTCCCTCCAGCCACCCACACCCCTTCCCACCCACATCTCCTCCAGGAAGCCCTCTGGGCCCCATGGCCCCTGTGGGGTGGCCCTGCAGGGGGGGCCTGGCTCGCAGAGTGGCAGACACAGAAGGGCCTGGGGGAGGGAACCTCTGCCCGGGTGCCCAGGACACTGGGGTCCACACCAGTCACCCCACGTCTCTGCACTCCAGCTCCCTGTGTCTGCTGGGGATCCACAGACACCTTACACTTGTACCTCAGAATAGCCCGTCTCAGCTGTGGGCAGTGGCTCACGCGTAATCCTAGCTCTCTGGGAGGCCGAGGCGGGCGGATTGTTTGAGCTCAGGAGTTCCAGACCAGCCTGAGCAAGAGCGAGACCCTGTCTCTACTAAAAAATAGAAAGAAATAATCCGGACAACTAAAAATATGTATATAAAAATTAGCCGGGCACGGTGGCGCATGCCTATAGTCCCAGCTACTCGGCAGGCTGAGGCAGGAGGATCGCTTGAGCCCAGGAGTTTGAGGTTGCTGTGAGCTAGGCTGACGCCATGGCACTCTAGCCCAGGCAACAGAGCCAGACTCTGTCTCAAAAAAAAAAAAAAAAAGCCCATCTCCTCAAACCTGCCTTCCTCGTCCTCCCCTCAGCGAGATGTCCGCGCCACACCTCCGCCTGGTGCACAAGCCGCTGGCCTCGGGCACCTTTCCCCCAGTGGAGCCCCAGGCCCAGTCCCCGCCCCGGCCTCTCCTCGGAACCCCTGCTCTTCCTGGGTCCGCTAGTGGCCAGTCCCCTGAGCACCGCAGAGTGTGGCCCAGCCCAGTGGGCAGGGCTGGGGCCACCACAGCCCACTGAGCAAAGGCTGCCAGCTCTTGGGTTGGGGGCAAGGAGTGACGGTGACTGACCCACGTCTGTCAGCATGGATGGAAAACTAACGGTCATCACCCATGATGTGCAGCTGCCAGCAGCCCCCAGGGAGAAAGCTCCTCCCGACCCATCGCCGGCCTGGTCACCTGCAGCTCCTCTTCCCCTGCCCTGGCCCTACTCCCTCCTGGGGGTGCTCGGGTCTCACAGATGAAGGCAGAACGAGACAGACCTCTGCAAAGATGTGCTTTGTGCACACGTATGTCTGGGACGTGTACATACATGTGTCCACCTGAGGTCCAATGCATGTTGAGTATACACGCCAGCCACATGCACAGGACATGGCGTGTATACGGTGGACATGGGCCCCATGAGCTTCACGCCCAGGCCAGAGTGTGGTGCGTATCACATGTGGGGGCACATTCACCCAGCTTTGCACACAGCCGTCCTCTCCATGGGGTGACTGTCACGGGCATGGATTTGTGCACAGACACAGGTGCCTGCTGACACCTGTACTCACAGCAGTAATACCCATACATGTCCCCCATATAACTTCTGTACAGGCATGTACAAGGCATACACATGTACACATGCTTATTCTGCACACAGTGTGTACGCATAGGTAGAGGCCATTGTGGCAGTGCACGTACATGGAGTATACACAGATACCCCATGTGCAAAACTGTTATCTGCATATACATTTTCTTACCCACATGGAGACATTTCGACATTTTCCCTGAGCACACTCTGAGCTGTATATTGTATTATATATATGTACTTTGCATACACATATATGTTGTCAATATACAAGAGTACTTTGTACGTTGAATTCACATATCCCGTATGTAGAGACGTGTACAAAGCATATATATGTAGACACGTGCACACACGCAGAAACACCCTATGTCTGCAGCAGGATGTGACTGTTTCTGCACACACGGGCCGCCCTCAGCTTGCGCTCTATGGGCAGCTGTTCACGAGTCCACATGTATTCTGGAGATCGCATGAAATGCATACACACACCTGTGCAAATACACGCTAAAACATGCCCTCTGTCTGCCGGGGTGGACCCTCAGTGTTTGGTCTCAGGCAGAGTCACGCCAGTCACAACAGCCCACACACATGTGAGCGTGCATTCTCGTGTCTGTGGAGCTCGGAGTCGGGGCCCAGCCTCTGGGAGCAGTGGGGCTGACCTGCCTTCCCTTGGCAGTTGGACACGCCAGGCAGGGCTCTCTGGGAACGTGTGGCCACCCGGCAAACTCTCCCAGCACACGTGAGGGGCACGTACAGCCTCATCTCTACCTGCTCCAAGGCCCATGTTCTGCATCAGCACACCCGTCTGTGCCCAGAGGCATGTAACACACTCAGTGAGACATGCACCTGTCCTGACTCACACCCACTCTGCGCCCACACGTGTGCACACAGACCCTGGGGCAGGAGTGCAGGGCAGGCATGAGGACGCGGCTTCTGGGGGCCGTGCCCCTCCGTCCTGTCCTAGCTGTGTGACCTTGGGCAAGTCCATCCTCTAAAGCCTGTCGCTTCCTCATCTGTCCAGCAGGGATGACAAGGGTCACTGCGATGGGCGTGCATGCGTATGTGCGTGTGCGCTGTGTGTACGCACATGTATATGCACAGACGGTACACACATGCGCATCTCACGAGAAGATGTTTATTTCGTACATGGACATACAAACATGCATGGCCAGGAAGACTCCATCACCACGTGCACAGAAGGGGAGTCGCGCCGTGGGTGTAGGGGGCCTGGGCTCTCCCTGGATCTCTCAGTGACCTTGAGCTGCTCCCCCAGCCCCTCCCGGACCAAAGTTCCTGCTCTCTGCAATGGGGTGAACCAGGTGCCCCCGCAGGCCCCTCCCACCTTGCTCTGCACTTCCCTGCCCCGGCTCCACTGTGGACCGGGCCGGGCTGCTGCTCCCCAAGCCGCAGGTCCACAGCACCCTGGCAGGCCTCTAAAGGCATCTGTGGGTGGTGTCCTACCTGACTCAGGCAAGCCGCCTCCTCCCAGGAGACCTCTCCCCCAACCCTGGGGGGGTCTGGTCAGACGGCCCTCCCCCAGCGACCGGCCGGCCGCCTGCACCCCCACAGGTCTAGCGCGGCTCTGTGGCCTGCCTGGGGGTCCCGGGCAGCCCAAGTGGGCCCCGCGGCACATGTGTGGTCACGCGTGTCGTGCCCGGCGCGGCGCCGCGGACTCACCGGCCACAGTTGCAGTGGCAGACGCGGTCCTCGCCCCGCAGGTGCGGGAGGATGTAGTTGTGGAATCGGTCCAGCAGCGCGTTCATGTCCATCAAGCACGCGATGGCCTGGAAGAGCCCATGACGGGTCAGCGCCAAGGCGCAGGCGGGCCGGAGGGGGGTTTGGGGGTGGGGAGAACCCTGGGCAGGGGCGCGGGGGAGCCGAGGAGAGGGGCGCAGGCCGGGGCGGGGAGCACGAGCGGGTTGGGGGGAGGGGAGAGCTCAGGCCGTGGGGGAGGGGAAGCGCTGGCCGGGGAAGGGGCGCGCAGGCCCGGGAAGGGGGTGCAAGGCGGGGAGGAGCGCGCAGGCCCGGGAAGGGGAAGCAAGGCGGGGAGGGGCGAGCAGGCCCGGGAAGGGGGCGCAGGCCGGGGAAGGAGGCGCAGACCGGGACCAGGGGCGCGCAGGCTGCGGAAGGGGGCGCAGGCCGGGGAGGGCGCGCAGGCCGGGGAGGGGGCGCAGGCCGGGGAGGGCGCGCAGGCCGCACGGGCCGGTAAACAAGGCGCGGGAGGCGGGGGAGGCGGCGCGCGCGCGGGCGGCGGGAGCAGGGGGCGCGCAGGAAGCCCCTCCGCTCACCATCACGATCGACGCCCCCAGAATCATGAAGATCATGGTGTTCGCGCTCATGGACATCGGGCGGGGCCGGGCCGGGCCGGAGCGCCGCCCCCCGGCCCCGGCGCCCCCCCGGCCCCGCAGAGGTCAGCGCCTCCTGGACCCGCCGCCGCCGCCCGCGGCAACCCCGCCGCCGGCCGGGGGAGGAGGCGCGGGGCGGGGGCGCCGGGAGGGATGCGGGGGCCGCCCTGGGGTCGCTCGGCCCGGCCCGGCCCGGCCCGCCGCGCTCCGCTCCGCCCTCCGGTCCTCCCTGCGCTCCGCTCGCTGCTCGCCCGCTCGGCCCGGGCCCCCTCCCTGCTCACTCCTCCCTCCCGCTCCCCGCCGCCTTCCTCCGCCTCCCGGGAGGGACCGCGCCGCCCGCGGGCCGCCCCGCGCCAGCGCCGCGCCGGGAGGGACCGTCGCCCCCAGACGCAGCCGGACGCCTCTCCGGGACCGCAGCTCCGCGTCCCGCCTCCGCCCGGGCGCCTGCCCAGCGGCCCGGAGAGGGGCCCAGGGGCCTGCGGGCGGCTGCACGGCCCAGCCCCCCCGCGCGAGGCGTCTCTGATGGAGGCGCCTGCAAGGTCACCGAGGAGAGGCCGGAGAGGTCGTTCTGAGTGTGCGGCCACAGAGGTGAGAGGGACGCGCTGCCCACGGGGTCAGCCCAGGCATCGGGGTCAGGCAGCCCGACGTCCAAAGGCCCAGGGCCCACGGTTCCGCTCTGGCTGCCCCTAACCCCGGGACCCTCCAGACAAACCCTCCTCCGGCACCCACCGCCGGCGCAGGAGCCCTCTCCCCAGCATGGCCAGGTGCCGTCCCTTCCTCCCGCGAGGAAAGTCGACTGCAGGTAAGCCCTTGGGGGTCGCCTGAACACTCCTGGGCCAGGTCGCCGGGGGCAGTCCTCACAGGGCAGGGGCAGAGGGAGGGACATGGTCTTCGGGGACAGGCCAGGAATTCAGGACAAAGCAGAGATGACCAGCAGCGTCTGTTTATTGGACAGTTCCAGGTTCCTTCCTGGTAAGATACAGCCTGTGGCTTCCCTCGGCATCTGAACAGTCCGGCCGGGTGGGGGGAGGGACGACAGGCACAGGTGGGGACGACGGGGGTGTCGAGGGAAATGCACAATAAACCGTTTCTTCGTTTTTGGTTAAAGAAAAAAAACTTTATAATCAATATCCCACTCATAAGTGAAAGTGGAACGGAAAAGCTTGAGTGTTTTTAACATGGCATGTACACGTCTCCTGTCGTGTGCACAGTTCGCTGGGTTAACACCACCGTCACAGCAGAACGCCTAGAAATAAAAAAGCTATGGAAGGAAAACCATGACCACAAGGAGGCTCGGGGGGAGGCGCCCGGCGGGCGTCAGTAGAAGCACACGGTGTGCAGGAAGGTCCGGCCGCTCTTCTCCTCGAACTCCTGCAGCAGCTCCTCGATCTCGTTCTCCATGTCCTCCGTGTGCTGGATCTGCGAAGGACAGCAACGCCACCGTGACGGACCCTGCCCGCCCCAGCCTGTCCTCGGAGCCGCGTGTCCTCCCACATGGACACCCAGACAGCGAGGGAACCCAGGCCTGGACCAGCCCAAGCCCCCAGCAGAAGCCAGGCAGGCCCACGCCACACGCCGTGCCCTGGTGCTGACCCGTACCGGGCAGGGTCTCAAGGACACAGGGTCCCCAGGGCAGCTCCGGGCCCACCCCTACAGGGGCCTGGTGTGGATGAGAAGGTGGGCAGCCGACCTCCAGAGGCCCAGCCGCCAGTGCTGTTCCCACAGGAGGGCAGTGCCCGAGTCACCCGGCCAAGGCGCTGACCCACCCCCGTGGTGCCGGCCTCTGGTGCACTGCAGGAGCCTCCACCCGCAAGGCGCCTGTAGCATCCCTCCCAACTGCGACACCCCATGTTCAGCCACAGTGCCACATGTCTCCGGGTGGATGGAAGGGCCCAGAGCCTGGCAGACATCACCACCAGGGGCCCCAACCTCACACAGACCACTCCTCTGACCCCACCCTGGCAGGAGTCACCCGCTCTGCTAGCCACGTTGGGGGCTGAGGGCCCCTGCGCCTTGGGGAAGAGGAAGGCGCCAACCCCTTCGTTAGCTGAGGCCTGCGTCCTGGAGACCTTGGTGGACACACAACTGGCTTCACTGACTCTCCTGTCAGCTGCATGGAGGCTTAAGCCAAAGCCACTCAGGTGAGTCTCAAACTCAGGCACCCCTGGGCACGCACTTGCATCTTAGCATTTGAAAAATGACTTTAACCACTCCCCATGGAAGCCCCTGCCTTGTGCAGGTGGCGGTGGGCTCAGCCACTCCCCCGCCCCGGCAGAGCACATGCAGCAGGAGGGCTGAGGCCAGGCCCGGCCCAGCGGGGGGCGGGTCCCCAGCTACTCACACACTGGCAGAGCTCGCAGATGAGGAACGCCCCCAGGGTGGCCTCTTCGTGGTTGTCTTGGATGTCCACATTGACCACGTGCACTGGCTGGCAAGTCTCCTGTTCTCTGGAATTCAGATCTGATTGGGACAAAGTGGCACAGGTGTCAGAGCTTCCAGGACCAGACAGCAGGCGACCAGTGTGGCCAGGTCCCCCGCCCGGCCCTGCCTGCCCTGGCCTGGCCTCAGCTGTTCCTGCACTCTGGGGTTTTGGGAAAACAACTGAAGACTGAGCAAGTCTGAGAACCTCCTCCCGAGGGGAGCCCCGCACGGGACATGGCTCAGTGGACACCGACCTCGATGCAGGGCACCCGGCTGGCCCCACACAACCAGCCAATCCTGGGGTGAAGCACTTTTCACCCGGCGCAAGACTCAGCCCCTGCACAGCAGACCCCGAGGCCAGACGAGGCTGTCAGCCAGCACACAGGCAGAAGGGCCACCATCGCCTGCCTCCACCTCTGGGCCCATCCCCTTCCTACAGCGCTCCCCAGCCCCGTGGCCTGCCCCTCTGTGGGCCCTGCCCGTGCCAGGCACAGCCGCTCCCGGGGCGAAGCAGCCTGGCCTGGCTGAGGGCTGGGCGGATGCGGGGCCTGCAAACTCACCTTCCACCACCTGGTCGTAGACTCTCTCTTCACAAGTGAGGATCAGATCAAACAGGTCTTTGCAGTTCTGGAACCTTTCTGGTCGGGGCTTGATCCTCTTATTTCTGTCCAACATGTGCAAAATGCCATTCTGTGTGTAGCTGAATTCCGCAGTTAAGGAACTTCGGACAGAAGCTTCTGCTCACTAACCCTGGGGGCACCTGTAGGCCCTATCCTTCCCCTCCTCGCCCCTGCGGCAGGCATCGCGGTGCGGGCCACGCCACAGGCCGCAGGTCCAGCTGAGGCAGGGGCACCACCGTGCCCACGGGTCCCACAGAAAAGACAGGCTGGGAGGCACTGGGGCCCGCACAGACACAGCCGCCCCAAGGAGACCCGAGCGCGGCGTCTGACGCGCCCACCCCAGCCTGGCTGCAGGGACCTCGCGTCTGTGTTCTCCTCTCACGTCGCTGCTGCCTTCTCGAGTTGCTGCCTTTCTGGGGTGGCCGTCAGCTCCGGCTGTGCTACCTTTGCACTCGGTTCTCCTGTTCTCTGCGCCCCAGTCCAAACACCCGGTGAAGCGCCCGCTCACTCTGAAACCCGAGCCCTTCAGCAAAGACGAAGCCAACCCTGACACCAAACCCCAAGCCGAGCTCAGCTGTCACAGTACAGACAATCTAGAAAATCCTCGGGGACACACGAGCCAACAAGGAGGAAGGCCCGGGAGGGAGACGCCCTGGGCTAATGGTGCTCAGGGAGCCTCAGTGGGGGAAGAGGGAGCCTGAAAGCTCCTGGCGTCCAGCTGAGCTCGTGGGGCCGTGGGGACGGTGCCCACACACAGGCCAGGCCCTGGGAAGGGACGGCGGGAGCCACCACCCCCACGCCCAATGGCTGTGCCTGACTTTTGGGGGTCCCCAGGGAAAGGGTTCACCTGCTCAAAGAGACAGACCGAATCCCCAGACACGAGCCCCTGGGGACAGCTGAGGACAAGCATCCCATTACTTCTGTTTTGGAGAAACAGACTGGCTGAGTTATAAATTCTGAGTGATCATTCGACTTTAAGTTATGTGAGTCTGTTTAAATAAGCTTATAATACTTTAAATGTATTTTCTGCCTTCCTGGATAATAAAAATAGCTTTTGGAATACAATTCAGTGGTCTACTCAAATCTGTATTAGTCACTGTAAAAATTAATTAATTACTGATTAATAAAAACATAACTAGGTGGTTGATCGGAGGTTTAACTTGAAGACACCTGGCTGTGAGCTGCCCCTGCGCTCCAGCAGTGTGACCGGCACGGTCCCCACCCGAGGCGCGTTCCTGGGCCGGGCCCTCGGGTCCCCCCGCGGCCCCCAGAAGCAGCTGTCCTGCTGCACCTGGTCCACCTCTGCGATCTGAGTCCTCCACAAGCTCAGTCAGACTCCATGGAAAGATTCAGGCTCAAGGAGCTCCGACCCTGTGGTGCGGCGGGTCGTTCGCGGGCCGGAGGGGAAGCCCTGGAGGCAGAACCCAGCCGGACACAGGCCCAGCAGCGGCTCCACGGTGGCCCACGGTGCCCCGCAGAGTCTCGGCCAAGTCTCCCCACACGTTCTTGGGCAGGACGGAGTTCTCCGACCTGCTACCCAGACAGGCAGGGCTGTGGGGAGGCTGTGGGTGCTCCCGGGGCCTGGCGGGGTGTCGTCGGCTGAGGAGACGTCCCACCAAGTCCTTTCCTCCTTACTCGATGCCCCACTGTTTATGCGGACAAGGCGAGACGTGAGAGCACGTAACTAGGAGAGGACCCGTCCAGTTTCGGAGGCTTGTTAGTTTAACAGGGAAGCAGTAACGGTGGCCTTTTCTGGACTGTTTCTTGGCAAATGAGAGATGCAAGGCCAAGGACCTGCCAGGGAGGGCTGAGGCCTGTCGTGTTGGAGGCCTGTGTCAGGAGCACTTAAAACAACCACAGGCTGGGCACGGTGGCTCACGGCTGTAATCCCAGCACTCTGGGAGGCCAAGGCAGGAGGATCACTTGAGGTCAGGAGTTCAAGACCAGCCTGGGCAAGAGCGACACCCCGTCTCTACTAAAAATAGAAACAATTAGCCAGGCGTGGTGGTGCACACCCGTAGTCCCAGTTACTCAGGAGGCTGAGGCAGGAGGATCGCTTGAGCCCAGGAGCTGGAGGCTGCAGTAAACTATATAACGACGCCATGGCACTCTACCCAGGGGACAGTGGGACTCTGTCTTAAAAAAAAAAAAAAAAAAAAGGAATACAACCAAAACCCACCCACCATCTGAGCCCACAGGGACCAAAGTCTCAGGGAAGCCCCACTGCAAACCCCAGAGGGGCAGGGAAAGTGCAGCCGACGGTGCCACGGTCGGGAGTGGGCACAGAGAGTGCAGCCAAGACAGGCTTTGTGACAATAAGGCTCAGGGATAAAGGGAGGCACGACTCTGACAAGATCTGGGGACTGCCTGGGGAGCGCAGGGCAGCACGTCTGCCAGGCTGCAACCAGGGGACACTGCTCCGAGGGCAGGCCCGAGCAGCACAGGAGGAAGGTGGGGGAAGGCATCTGCAGCACTGCCAGACGCCTGACTGAACAGGGCTCGGGGACCGCCCCTGCGGCCCGCCGGGGTCCCTGACAGCATTCAGCACGGAGCCCACAGAGGAAAGCCCAGCAATGCTGAGCCCTGGTGGGCAGGCAGGCGCCAGGCTGAGGCCTGAGCTGCCCAGGGAGCCAGAGGCCCGGGGGAGATCCCACCTCACGCGCTCCCCACCACCGAGGTCCAGGGCCCAGCCAGGCGTAAGGGCCTGAGAAGCACCCAGAGAAGCAGGCTAAGTGAGAGGAGTGTCCTGGCACAGGGGACAGGCACAGGCCCACCCCCAGGGCCCCTGGGCAGGGAGCAGCAGCCAGGAGGACTGTCCGGGTACAAAGGTCCAGCCAGGCCTGAACGACCACATTCATGAAGGGGCGGCTGACACGCAGGGCGAGAAAGCACCAAACACTCGGAGCCGTCCCTGAAGTTAACACGCGAGTAAGAAACGAACTCCCACAGCGGGGCCGAGGAAACTGGCCCAGAAGCCTGAATCGGCAGCTGGTGGGTGGGGTGTTATGGGGGACACAGCGGGCAGGACCCCCCACCCCAGGCTTCCGTATCACCCGGGGCCCTGGCGGTGGAGATGGGCAGGTGCCCACGCAAGGCTGGGGATTCTGTCACTGCAACTGAGGCACAGGCCTCCCGGCAGGCCCCGGTACCTTCCAGAAGGCCCAGGAGACAGGGACGGAGCCGGCCATGCCGTCTGGTCGTAGTAGCTCAATCTAGACCCTCGAGCGAGTCCCACAGGATAAGCACGGCGTGGCTGGTGCCGAGGGGCCGCCAGCCCGCGTCTGTTGGCACACGAGCGAACACGACCAACCTCCTGGCCCCGAGCGGGCAGGCGCAGCCCCACCCACCTTCAGACTGGGACCACTGGCGCAGCTCTGAGGGCAGCAGAGCAAGGCTGGAGCTGCGTCATGCCGAGGGCCCCAGAATATTCTGTGTCATGCCCCACCCACCTTCAGACTGGGACCACTGGCGCAGCTCTGAGGGCGGCAGAGCAAGGCTGGAGCTGCGCCATGCCGAGGGCCCCAGAATATTCTGTCATGCGACAGGAAGTACCATAAATACAGGACCAGTTCAAAGTTCTCTGGGTTTTACTGCCCATCAGAGAAGCAAGTAAGACTCCTCTGTCCACGCAGAACGTGTGGCCTTTAAAACCCCGACTCACATAAACGTCAGTGACGCAGCGCGACGCAGACCTGAGGGGACACGAAGGATGTAGGCTGGGGTTCTCCAGGGACGTCCCTCTTCAACAAAGCAGAGCAGCCATAGACGGTTCTCTTCAAAGGTGACTTGCAAAAGACACACTGGAGCTCACAGCACGTCCACGCGCAGCTGCAGTGCGGGCCAGCCGTGTCCTCGCCCGCGGAGCCCGGCTGCTCTTCTCCTGAGAGCCGAGGCTCATTCCTTCAGTTCTAATTCAAGGCAGCTTTTTGGTCAAGTTTAACCCCAACCATGACTTCGCTGGTTAAGCCGAATGCTTTCAAGTCTGAAGCTGTTTCCCAGAGAGGAAGCGACTTCCACGGTCCATCTCACGGGCACCTAATTACGGGCCCTTCCGAAAGTGCAGCAGCTCGCGGGACCCACGCCCAGTGTGGAGCACGACAGCCACTCTCGGGCCACTCACAAAAGGCTGTCCTTCCTGCCTCTCCCCGGAACCCACAGGGACCCAGAGCTAAGGGCTCTGATCAAAGGAGACCAAGCTGCAGGTCCTGGGAGGAGCTGGCTCTGGGGCACACTGCGGGGGGGCAGGCGAGGGCCCCCTCTGGTCTGCAGGTGAGGGGTGTTGAGCGGGCACAGGACTGGGCCCGGCCACCTGCTGGGCCTCTGCACAACAGAGCTAGTTCCGTGAAGGACGACAGGGAGGGCAGAGTTCAAGCCAAAAGCAGCAACCACGTGCGGATAACCAGTCACTTCTGGACCAAGGGAAGACGCCTGCCCAGAGGCCTGGTGGTTTCACCAATGGACTCGTCCCTCACCCAGGTGGGGCCTCCTCCAGGCGGCTCTGCCAGGGCTGAGTCCGGCCAGGTTTCTGCTGTGGACCCACCGCCCTGGACCTCCCCAACCCAGCTGCACCGAGCTGCGCAGCCTGAGGCGGGGAGGAGCACAGCACGGCACAGACGCACTAACACCCAACTCAGGCAAGGCTTTCAGGCAAGGCAAGCCGGGTCGAAAGCCCGTCACAAACGTTAAGGGTGGCCTTCCAGCTGGAAGCAAAACTCAGAGTGCATGGGAGAAGCAAGAGACACTGCCCCCCACCCCGGGCAGATGGTGCCTGTCAGAAAGGGGTTTCAGGGCAGGTGGCCTCACCGCACCCTGTGGGGTGCAAGGTCGGCTAGACCCCACCACCCGGGGCCCTCTGCTGTCTCCTAGCAACCACAGGAAGCCGGAACCTCTGCCTGATCCCTGGAGCAAGGTTAGGGGGGCACGAGGCTCACCTTAAACCCACTGTGGAGGTTAACTTACTCCAGGTGTCGTGAAGTCCTGGTTTGACCAAGAGCCACTGACGCTCAAACTCAAAGATGAGAGGTGGCTGCTAACAGAACAGGGTCTCAGTCGACTCTCTACCCTCCAGCCAGGCAACCCC